CACTCAAAATTGTGCAAGCTGTCAATCCGGTTTGTTAATCGCTAATTGCTTAATTGTGCAGTTCCAATATTATCCTCTGCATCGTGCGCACGCGTGCACGCACGCACAAAGACAAGCTTATTGTAATGATCAATTATGAAAATTGTTACATTTAATAAAACATAATTATTATTGTACTTTACACAGCCCTTTGTCAATTCACTTCTGAATGAAGGGGGCTGATTGACCATACTTCACCATGCTGGCTTGTGTGGGTTGAGTACCACAGAGGGCCCAGCATGTAAACGATAAAGGCGCAGCTTTGCAATTTCCTTCGCCACTGCTAGCGGAATTGCCTCCGCTAGACGGAGCGAGCTATTTAAAAACACAGAGGCATTCTCGTGGGCATTTGGCCTACTCTACAAACGCTGGCCAGACGTCTTGGAAGAGGTGAGAGTACCCACACTCTACCACCCACCGGTCTACTAACTGTGGTGTACCCATTTATACACTGCTGGGTGGACAGAGGTCGGTGGATTTCAGGACAATACAAACTCCAAGGGGCACCCAGAGGTTCCTGGAGGCCTGGGGCAGAATGCCACGCGGGCCCCCCTTGATTCCACCATCCAGAGGCCTCGTTGCGAGGGCCTCTTTCGTCTGAGGCCCAGAGACCAAATGTCCCCCCTTTGCCCTCCGTTATGGGTAGCCCTGCACAAAGACAAAGATCCCCCGTGTAGCCTTAACGCACTTTTGGGGCAAGTGCTGTTAGCGAGCACCTATGAAGGTCGGCACGGCACACGAGTGGGTGGGTGGCCAGCAACCCACCTTTGTTTCCCTAGTGGCAATGTTTACACACCGCACGAGGAACACATTTGAGGCTGAGTAAACCTAGGGGAGGCCCAGGACCGGTTCATGATATTCGCCACTGTACACTATGCACGCGCACACAGATGTGCTCACAAACAACATGTTGTTTAACCAGTTGAAAACACCCAAGAGACCAGGATGAGTTAATTTTAAGAATGACCTTTGGGTCTTAGTCTGCCAGCAGGGGGCGATGCTCGCTGCTGTGTGCATAATCCCAATTGAGTCATTTGTGGGGTAAGTTTCGAATTGAACACATTTGGACCCTGACATCGGCACGCAATGGCCTTTAACCCTTGCGACTGTCGATGACGGAGGGTCTTTAACGTCCACTGAAGCACACCACTCGTAGGATTATGGTTATGACTATTACTCTGGTCTCGCCCACCTCCCTCCCCCAGCAACTCCGATTAGCACCGTTGGCTACGCACGGTAAGAAATACGCTGAACGTACGTACGTGACATAACATTCGCTGGGATACTCAGGGCGGCCCCTGGAATCGAAACCGTGAACTGTCAACGTCAAAGGGACTTCCCGCCTCAAATAAGCATTGAGGCATTCGATACGTAGTAGGACAACCACCGTTGACTTCCCCACAAAATAGTGACCATTTTATCGCCCCCCCCCCAAAGGGATGATGGGCTGAGTCAAACACCTTCCACCCCCACCAGGATTTGACCTCGCAACCTGAGCCACGTGGCCGAAGTGTGACCTGCAACGTTCAATGCTACGATTTATTCCGTTGTTGTACACACACACACACACCAAAAAAGTATCCCCCGTGTAGCCTTAACAGACTGTTGGGGCAAGTGCACTCGTCACATAGCCGTGCAACTGTATGCTGTGCGGGGAGAGGGTGCGGTGGCTGGCTCGACTGAACATGATGCGTGCAAACAAATACTGACAAATCTGCCGTAATTTCCGTAATTTCAAGCGAGCGACCGCAGAGTTTGCGGTTGGAAAACTACGCCCAGGGCGAGGTGTTGGCCGCTGATAGCGAGCAGGCTCGAAGTGGCGCTTGGCGATGCTGCTGCTGCTGCCGCCGCCGCCGCTGCTAAACGCGAGCAGAGGGGGTGCTGTAGACAAAGGGCATCGCGTGCGTGCGAGTGAATACACCAGTGTGGTTCTTCACCTTGACATCAGCCCATGATTCTCAATCGTTAAAACGTGTAATGATGTTCACGAATGCGTAGGCTTTGATGAAACAAGGCAGTTGTAACTTACTTGCCCTCGTGCTTAATTTTCCTTTTCGATGATTTGCCTTCTAAAAAAAAATTGGCCATATCTCGCACCCCCAGAAAGGGCATCACGCACCCCCAGGTTAAGAAGCCCTGGAATAGACTAATCGATCAGTTCGTGTGAATGTATGGGGCGCGGTGAGCGCAGTGGTCAGCGTGCATGCTGCGCTACACTCTACTCGCGGCCAACACCAGTGACGATTATGTAAGCCGGTCCTGAGGCTTGTACTTGGTCGATATGGCCTCAAATAAGTACCTGGTGCGGTGTGTTAACAGCACCACGGGGGAGACAAAGGCGGCTACACCCCCCCCCCCCCCCATCCTTCATGTGCCGTTCCGGCCTTAATAAGTGCTTGCTAACAGCACTTTCCCCAACAGAATGTTAAGGCTATACGTGGGATATCTGTCTGTGCGTGATGAAAATGAGGGTGAATGTGCATGCACATGGAAGTCTTGCGTGAATGTGTAACTGTCTGTGTGTGTGAATTTAAGTGTGCGTGAATCTGTGAAATGTGCGGGTGCATGTGTACGTGCGAAATGTGTGATAATGTGTGAAATGCACGTGCGATTGTGTCAAGTTGTGAACGTGTCAAGGAGTCGTTGTGTGTGAATGTGTGTGAATGTGTGAAAGTGTGTGTGTGTGTGTCAATGTGTGTGCCAATGTGCGTGCTTGTGAGTGACCCGTCAGTGACGATTATTTGAACCGGTCCTGAGCCTACCCCTAGGCCGACTCAGCCTCAAATGAGTACCTGGTGCGGTGTGTAAACATCGCCACCGGGGAGACAAAGGCGGCCGGGCGTGGTGCTAGCCACCCACCCCCTCGTGTGCGACAGTGCCGGCCTTCATAGGTGCTCGCGAACAGCACTTGCCCCAACAGTCTGTGAAAGGCTATGGGGTGGATCTTTGTCTTTTGTTTGTGTAGTGTGCATGCTATTGGGTAACAGCTGGAGACTGTGGACTTAATCTCAATCTGGTCTCTAGTGTTAACTCATTGACAACACTTGTAAGGGTCTTTTAGTAACATTTGCTGATAACTGTCTGTGTTGTACTCCAGTAACTGGGAGTGAACAGGCATTGCCCGCTTTCTATTTGCATTGGCATCATACGCCTCAAAAGGCAAACCACTTTGTTCACTGATATGTGCAATTAGTTAGCACGAGACTAATTCATTACTTTAAGCTAAGCGTAGACAGGACTCTTTTTTGTACATATATAGCACGTACAAAAAGAAAATGAATAAGAACAATTGGAGAAAGGTAAGATTGATTTTTTGGACGTATAATGGGGAAACGACAGATTGATTGGGGAAATGAGAGTTACAATTATTAGGTACGAGCTAGCAAATGAAGCGCAGAAGAAAATTTGAACGACTGGATGCGACTCGGTGTATGTGTAATGCACAGCTCTGGAGTGATATCAGACCATAATCACCGACACCTGTGAGAAAGGTTATAGCGCGTGGAGATATATCTCGCCACTATAACGTTCGTCTTTAGAGCCCCCCCACCTCCCCCCGCCCAGGTACAGCAATTAGAATGTGCGTCAGTCTCTTGGTGGCGATCAGATTTGCGGTTAGACGGCATGCGATGAATCTGAATTTGAGAAGTCGCTGGGATGGCGTGAATACAAATGAGATTGGGAGAGAAACGCTGGTCACGTGAGGGTAAACATAAAACACGAGGGAGAGTCTTGGCTTTGACACCGGCTCACAAACCGGTTGCAGTTTCACGAAAGAGTATGTCTCCAGCGTGGGCTTTTTTAACGTTCAGTTTAAATCACTGGGCGCAGCTTCGGTAATTCCCCCGGCTCTTTCTCCCCTCCCCCCCACCCACCCCTCTTGCAAGGAACTATTGGTCATTTGCGGGAAAAAAAAATCAACAAAATTGCCGACTTTAAAAGTCGTCTTCGTATAAACTATGAAGCAAAGGTCACCACGGCTTTAGGGACGCGCTATATGCAGCGACCAGAATTGGGTGAAAGCACGTAGCCCTAGAGGGCAGTTTAACAAAAAAAAGGTGAGTTTGGCAAGGCGACCCGAGTAACACATGAGCAAGGTCAAAGATAGCCCCCCCCTCCTCCCCCCGATGTAATTCTGTCATCACCACGGCTTACAATATGATGCGGGAAGAATGCCTTTTATAATATCAAAATGTATTAATGTAATTTAAACACGTAGGCTTTCGCGACCATTAACATCCACAATAGTTTTTTTTCGGTTAGTAAAGAATTGGCATGTTCTGTGTACGTGACAAACCTTACTAATTGGCTGTGTCGGGTGGTGGCGGGTTTAACGGCACATTTATATTTACGGAATCCAACACAAAACACCGATGGTATGGATATGAATACAACTGTGAGACGGTTCTGGCCATCCAGCCACCGACTAATGCGTCCATAACCGCCACCTAGGGTGTCGTGTGAACGCGAGTCGAGTTTCGTTCATGGGATCCGTACCCGATTGGATGGAGTCCATCACCGCACGCGACGCAAATTTCACGCCGACTTCCTCAGAGCCGATTGCATGGCATCCCTCACGCGTGCGGCCTTATGGACCTAACAGCTCAAACAACTGCCCACCCCCCCACCGCTTAAAACTCATTGCTTCCAACTAAATATAAAATTGACCGCGGTTGCATTCATACTCCGTCTCCAAATAGGAGCGTTCTTTTATATATTTTTTGGGAAGGACGTATAATGATTGTTTCACCAAATCCTGTAGATTTGTTTTTTTTTTCTTCCAAACGAACTTTAATCCGATGAAAAAAAATGTGTGTAGTTTTTTTTAACTATATACATTTTTATCTTCGGTCCGCCGGAATCTCAGTAGCGTACAATTCGTTTGCAAGGAGGGACGGAACGCTTGGAGACAAAACCGCCCACAAATCGCGCCGCGCGACACGAGGGCAGAGACGAGGGCGTCGACGGGTTATTAATTTATTCCAAAACAACAACAACAACAAACTTACACTTCTCCAACCCCACCCCCCCACAGGGAACACCACAACAACAACAACAAACACGGGGAGAGACGCATATCGAAAAATATTGCATCGGTAAAAGACACAACTTCGTTTACAGTATAAAGAGAAAATAAACATCCCCCAACAGGAAGGGAAAAGAGAACTGACAGGGCAATCCAATTCACCATCGCACTGCACCGTAACATACCTTGCCACTTCGTGTTAACTTAGTTCATTACAGTTCACACATCAGCCTTTACAGAACTATACAATATTGCTTTTTTTTATTTAAGGCTGGTTGTGCTTCTTTAATAAAATAAAAAAGACACAAGTTTAGCGTGTAATGTGCATACACAACGTTAGGGTTAGTTTGCTTCTACTTTTTGTACAACCACTTCCAAAAACAACGAACTCAAACCCTCGGCGGTTAGGAAATCGCTGCCGCTCGGGTCTACGCTACCGCAGAGGATCTGCCGAAGACGGTGGTAGATGTGCACAATCATCCAACACGCGGCAAATGAGAAAGGGGGTTAGACGCCCCCCTCCCCTCCCCTCGGGAAGATTCAATAAATACTGCGCACATCTCCTGTCGACGATCTACAAGAGTTGTTACTGCTCTACAGGTGCTAGGGTTAGGGTTGTCGTCCGACCGAACGAGAAGACTAGCACGCTACGTCAGTAAACTTATCACCGGCGAGGAGTGTGGGAGGAGGGGGGGGGGTTGTTGTACATACCCTTGAACAAGTCTACTCTTTAGACGAAATGTAATTTTTTTCTGCAAACCTTCGAGAGGACAACTGTAAATTATAGTTGTTTTTAAATTAAATAACAAACAAAAAAAAATCGCCCAATTCTAAATTGCTTGCTTTTTTTAGCTTGTTCTAGAAACTCACACACTCGCGAACGCAAACGCCTCTACACCGCCGAGCCTGACGCCACAAAAGCCTCACTCATTTTGGTCTCCTAAGAATAAAAGGTTCGCTTTAATCCGCGAACTTGACGAAGAGAAAAATCAACACGCGGAGAACGTGCGGCCACGCAGTCGCCCGGCGGACGGGCGGACGAGCAGCGCCCGTCGCGGCGTCGCCACTCTTACGACGATGCTTGGAAGCGCCGCCCTCTTCTTCGTTTCTCTCGGGAGGGGGGGGGCCCCCCTCACAGACCAAAGTTCCGCTCACGACGACAACGAAAAGGCCGCGGGCTTGCACGCGCCAACAACAGCGCCAACAACAGCGCAGCGATGCAACGCAGCGATGCAACGACGCGCCGCTCCCTTGAGCCGAGTCCACCGGGCCATCACTCCCGTTCGCGCACGGCTGCGAATCCACGGCCCCGAGTGAGCGGGCGACTCGCTCGGGGGAAAAATAAAACGCTGGTGAGACGTGGCACAGAGCAGAGGCGGGCAGCCGCGCGCCCCCCCCGCCTCCACCGCCCCGCCCTCTTCCACCCCGTGCCGGCGACAGGAGGCGGACAGACGGTCGAAAACGAAAACTCCCGGACCCAAGTCGACTGCCGCCGCCGACTGCCGCCGCCGTCGCCGGCGGCACATCCTGCCGCGCCGCCGTCGTCCGGCGCGAGCGGCGTTACTTCTCCACCGGCGTGGACGGCCCGCCGCTGTTGGGGGGCGACTCCCGCTCCTTGTCCACCGACGCGATGACCCCTGGGAGGGAGGGAGGGTGGGTCGGTGGGCAAAGAAGGGGACGGGCACCGCGACAGTCAACAAAAAAATCTGGACGGCGCGCGGAGGGAAGGTGGGGGCGGGGTAACAGCAAAACAGATTTGCGAGCGGCCGAACGATGCCGTCATTCCGCGCGGCGCTCGCATCGATTGCTGCGCGAAAGGGATTTGGGCTGCCGTGTTTGTTGATAACGATGAACGCGCAAGTGTGAATTCTTTTTTAAAATTAAAAAAAATTCCGAGGCGTAATAAAGTGGATGTCTTGTCAGCGTCTGGAGAGTCAGTGGCATTGAGATGCTTTCGACATTCAATATGCGTCGTTAGTGTTCTTCTCTCTATACATTGCAGCATCGCACGACTATGCAAGGGAGACGAATAGAGGGTCGACTGTCCAAATAGGGGACAGAAAATTACTGCAACTGCTGCCGATGATAAAAAAAAAATTAACAATGATGCAAACATCCTTACTATAAACGCGTTTGTGAGCAAGTTTATTCAGCAATGGGTTGGTAAAGAGGAGTGCTTTTGTTATGAGTCGATACAGTTGTTTGGCAATGTAAATTTTATATATTGCATTAGCTTGTGTATTTATACATTGACCTGAGGGCGGGTGAAGAGGCGGGATGGGTCGATACAATTTTTTTTCCCAATTCAGAAACCCTATTCCGAAGACAAAAAAAGTCTCGCGACTCATCCGAGACTTTGCCGAACCGGGTCGCGGACACCACTACGTTGCCACGATCCCCGCTGCGCGAACCGCTCGCTCGCGACGCACGGCACGGACACGGCATGGCCGCCCGCCGCCGCTCACCTTCCACGCGATCCCAGTGTGCCCTGGCCGCCGCGGTGGCCGCGTCCTGGTCCATGTCCCTGGCGAGGTCGTCCCTGGCCGAGGGGAAGGCGTCCTCCTCTTCCTCCTCTTCCTCCTCCTCCTCGTACTCCTCCTCGGACAGCAGCATGCCCTCGGGCGGCCAGCGCAGCTCGCCGCTCTCCACCTCGCCGCCGTCGATGGGCTCCACCACGATGGAGGGCAGGCGGCCCTTGGTGCTTAGGCAGTAACCATCGTACGTGTCGTACGGGTCCGGGAAGATCTGCCGCGACGATGCCGGGACACGGTGCGGGGAGGAGGAGGGGGAGGAGGAGGGGGAGGGGGAATCGTTAGTGGCCGGCTCTAACCTCGCCAAACACGAGGGTCCAATAGGTTGCGGTCCTGCCGTGGTGCCGCGAGTGTCACGTGATGCGCCGCCGCTCCACCATCGGTGTGCACGTCGCAGAATGAAACAAAAAGAGCGGCAATGGTTGCCCGGTACGCACAAACTGAGTCCCAACGAGCCCCACCCAGCCCCACCCCAAAACTTAAATCGCTTTCCTACCCCCTCTGAACTACTGGACATGGGCCCAGCAATTGACGTCCGACTCCTGCAAGGTGCGATGCAGACAGTTAATTATGAAGCAATTTATAATTCCATCTTTATGGTAAAAATAAAAATTGCAGTCACCTCCGCAGAAAAATTATTTTTGTTGTTTGGGGTGGTGAGGATGGGAGGTGGGGGGGGGGGCTGGCGGTGAACTATGGAACTCAGCAACCAGAGATCAATCCCTGGTCATGGTACAACACCCATGGCGAGTGATATCTGTCCACCGTACCATTGACTTTTGCCATCATCTAAAGCGAGGCATCAAGAGACAGAGATTCTACAGAGCCACAGACCGACGCGCAAATCTCTCCGCGGTGCTTTCGGGCTGTGTTGCGCGCGGTTCAGCACGATGTCCGACGTTCCACTCCACGTGCCCGGGGAGCTTCTCCAGCTAGACAACGAATAAACACCTCCGTCTGTGGTCTCCACCCACCCACCAAGCCACCAACCGACCCACAGACCCCGCGTGGAGCCGAGCTAAACTGCACCGGACTCTCGCGCGATGAGTGCTGAAAACTCCGGCATGTGATGCTGCGTAAAACACCGACGTCTACAAAGAAGGGACGATCGAAATGTCACGCGTAAGCTCATGCCTGTCGTCGGCATTTAATTCGGCTCTCGAGAATTACGTACCACGGTTGTTTCCTGTAACCGACCCCTGATGTCCTTCCTTCCCGCCGCTTCCTCACTCTCTCCCCCTCTCCCCGAGCGATGGCAGTCGCCATCCAGGGGCAACAAACGCGCCAACGCTGAGCCCCCCGCTAACATAATCGGCATAGCTCGGTGGAGATTTATCGCCCGCGCGAGCTGGCATCGCCCACTGCCGCCGCCGCCGCCCGCGACGCCACGAAGAGGTCGCGCAACAAGGGACGCCGCGCGGCGGGGATTACAGAGGGACGCAGATTGTGCAATCGGAAGGCCCGACTGTCCGTGGCTGCCCGCCCTTGCTCGGACATTCGGACGAAGGGGCCGTCCAGAAAGCAATAGGGATGGGCGGGCAAACCCTCGCGTCGACCGTGCCGTGTGGATTATGGTACAGGCGGGTGTGGCGGGCGTTTTGATACACTTCACGTCGGTCAGTGCGGGGTCGGCGAAGGGGGTGCGGCGCAAAGGCCGGCTCGGATGGCCGGCTCGGATACAATTCGCCACCGACGTCAGCCGTGGCTGCGACGTGAAACTCGCGGCGACTGTGGCACAGGGATTCGGCGGAGGTCATCGAGCGGGCGACCCTCGGTGGCCGAGAGAGATTTTGGATGGGCGAAGAACGCCGGTCTCGCCGCACGTGCCAGCAGTCGAAGTTCGTCGCCGCCATGGGGATTTGCGGCACGATGTTTTCCGGCAAATATTGCCACACCGAGAGAATTCTGGATCGGTATCATTCCCGCTGGGCGGAGAGGTGGAATGGAGGGGGGGGGGGGGGGGGGGGGGCCTTCAGCTGGGCCGCACTTTGAATCCAGCGACCCGAGTTCAACTTCCGGCTATAGCTAACATCAGTGGCGAGTCAAAAGTCAGAACCGGTCGCGTCCCTCCTGCCCCACAATTCCTCCCTCCTTCCTTGACCAAACCACAATGATTGGCATGGTGAAGTATGGCCAAACAATAAAACGCCATGAAACAAGATGGCATGGGGGAGGGGGAGGGCCTTCATCCATTGGTGGATTGAGAATGGCTGTAATTTAGAGATATAATTATACGTATATATCATCATCATCATCAGAGTTGGGACTTGTTCCGTAGTTCAGCCCTAACAAAAGGCCAGCAACTTCTGCCCTTGGCCAAACGTATTATTTCCATCGGACAAAGCCCCCCCTACCTCACCCACCCTCTCACCCCCTCCCCCCTCACCACCGTTAGCCGTTCCATTAGCAGTTCCATTAGCAGTTGGCTAATCCGTCTTATGCATCGTCAGCCAGTCATTGGTCGGTCGAGTTCGTAACGTGGAGGGGGGGGGGGGGGCACGCCGATAACGTGGCGCGCTGTTGGACGCGTGGAAAAGATCCGGGCCGGCGTTCAGAGAGAGGGGCGATTGAGCTGCCGTTGAAAAGTTCCACTCGGTGACGCATTAACTGCCTCCGTGTTCACTACGGGGACGGCTTTTGGAGTCCAAGTCACGAGCTATCATAGACTAGGTTTACCTTTGTACCAAACTTGCTGCGTCGACAATACTCGCTTACCAACAGAGAATATCTCGGGTTTCAGTCACACATTTAACCCACCCCTATTGCTCGCAAAACCTCCTCCCCCACCACTCCTCGCTCACATAAGGCACCAACAATTCTGGGATTGTGATGGTAATGGCGCTAATTGCTAATAGTTTTTGATTGATGGTGACGATTAAAGGGAAGAAGATAATGTATTGAATACGAAAATGACAGACGATGATAATCTTGATGGTGAGATTATTGTCGTGGTGGTGATTGATGATCATGGAGGTCGTGGATATGATAATGACGATGGTGGCGGTTGTGGTGGTGACAGTGGTGATGACAGTGGTGATTCGAGGTGCTTGTGGTCAATCAACGTTTTTTTCCCTATCGTTGGTTCATTAGACAACGCCAGAGTTTACATTTCATGAGACTAGACCGTTTTTTTCCATATACAGTATAAGCCTATATATACACATCTCATTAATCTGACAGCGTAAAAATCCGCGGAAGCTGCCGTGAAGCTTGGGCGACTTTTGGGAGCACATTCTATTTTTACGCAACATACATTTCACACTGTCGTTTATATAAACGTCTCTCATTCCAGCTCGGGGCGTGTTTTTTTTGTTGTTGCAAAGAATAATAATATACAAAAATTAAATAACCATCCGCGTGAGAAAGGGCTAGGCTTCCACGGATGTCTATCCCTGCGGATCGCGGCAGCGAGAGCGTTGGAACATTTTAGTCATTAACGGCACGGCCTATGGGCTTGCTTGCTTGGGACATTATAATAATGCCCTTTGTGTACAGTCAGCGTTACCGAGGCCATAGATTAATTGGAAAACTAAAATAAAAATTCCAAGCAATCTCTGGGGAACTGGAAAAAGGCAAAGCAGAAGAGGGTTTTTTTTTGTTTTTGGGAAAGAGTCTATGCGCGGGTGATGTAATTCTATCCGAGTTGCTAGGCAAAACTTTTTTTTTTCCGAAGTGACACGCGATAGGGGGTGGGTGGGTTAAGAGAACGGTGGCTCAGAGCCAGGGCCGTTTAATTATTAATTATATTATAACTCACTAGCCCTTCGTCCGTCTCTATCCACTGCTGGTTGGGAGGCTTCCTTCCCGTGTCGATTAAAAGGGTGGTTGTGGGGTGGAGTGGATGCTTGACCATACTTCACCACGCTGCAGAGTGCGGCTTGGTGAAGCGAGTAGGGGCGAGTCAAGACCGACTCGGATATCGCTCGCCACACATCCTAGCCGTGGGCCGGCAATTGAACTCGGACGATCCAGATGTGCTCGGGTTGGTTACAGGTGTGTGCTTTTTGTCTGTTCATTAAATGACTGTGCTACCATCCCGACCAGCCCTGTTCGACTCCTGCCTAGGATACGGCTACTTACACCCCCCCCCCGCCCCCCCCCCAAAAAAACTTGGGACTTCTAAACTGCACTCGATGTATTATGAGTATATTTGATTCGGCATAGTCACGCGCTAACATAACAATTAACAGACACGCGTACACTCCCCCCCACTCCACTCTCTCCCATTATGTTGCGAGCTGCCGCCCTTAATAGGCGCTCGCAAACATTCAACGACCGAGAAGCCTCACCTGGAACGGCAGGCGCGCATCGCGAGTCTTGAAGCTCAGGTCTTCCATGGCGGATTGGCTCATCATCAGCTCGGTCATTCTCCCGGTGGCGATGCCGGGACGGGTGTCCTGTGTCAGACGGAGCACGCGGGCAAACACGCAACACGGACCCAGGTCACACAGTGCACGGCGGCTCGGGATGACAGACACAGCTTGGCTTGTCTTGCAAGAGCTGAAGGATCTCTCAGCAGGAGCGAAACGTCAGATCTATTGCCGAAGGCCACGCGGAGCAAACCCGAACGCACATCAGAGGGCCCATCCGGCCACAACCACGAAAACCCACGTGGCCGTATTGGTGGTATTACTGCCCGCAGAGGATGTTTGATATTGATGCTGTAGTTTCATCAATGCGATATGAGCGATGCCATCAAATATTATCACCCCCCCCCCCCCATTGTCATCAATAATCACCATTATCACCACAATCTATATTGAAAGCCCATACAAAGACGGCAGGCAAACATTTCTTCAGATTCGAATACGGACGAACAGAGAATAATAATTTTAAAACACGTCCATTTCAAAATACGAGCCTGTACATTAGAAAACAAAACTTAAAAAAGGCAAGATTCTAAATATGGAAGTGTACGAGATGATTTCCCTCCGGGCTAACAGTTGGCAGCCAGGAACAAGTCAAATTCTTAACGTCATATTATTCACACGCGGTTGGCGATTTACCTTTTCCGCCCGAATAGTTTTGTTGAAACGGACCCCTCTGCCTCTATATCCGTCTCCATAATCGCCACCACAATCAGCATCATCATCATCATCATTTTCACGTTCACCAACAATGCGGAAGATTGTTTTTAAAACCTGATCGCCAACACCGTACATTTATTTTAGCCTTGACAAAAATAGTTTTCACGAGCTACAAATCACAACGGGGTTTGCAATTGCGGCCTCGTTAAGCTTCACAGTCGCAAGACCACGTGCCCCACACCCAGCCCGCCTGCCAATATGACGCTGCAGGTGAAACACGTGCAGCGAGCAGTCTCTCGAGCGCGTTTAACCCACAGACAACGACCACCCCCATTGGCACGGTTGGCTACGTACGGCGCGAAAGAAGTCCACCGTCCATCGACGGAACGATCGGTCTTTTTTCAGTTAAGATTTTTACACGCTTCCGTCTTGTGCGAGACCGCCCACCCACACCCCACTCCCGACCGGAGCCAGGCCAGAGGGAGAGGGCATGGCCTGCGCCGAACAATGAACGCGAAGTGACAGCGGTAGCGGTCGCACGGCTCTGCCTGCTCTGTGCCGGCGTTTAGCGTCGCGACTCCACGGAAGGGGGCGAATTACTCGGTTCACTCACGGTGGCGGTAATGTGTGCCAGTGTTTAGCACGAGGCTTGGAGCGATGCGAAGAACATTTTGGGGGTGGCACTGTCGAAATGGGACAAATCGAAAATCGAACTTCGTCGCCCGTCACGTGCCGTTGGCCAACGTTTAACAATCGTTTGACCTTTGATTTCCCTTACAATCATTGCCCCGAATGTATTCGTGCCAAACGCATATCGCCCTTTCTATCAACCCTTCTAGAATATAATCATTAAAACATGTTACTTTTTTAAAATTACGGTATGCAAATGATCTCAATCAAAGCGACCAAATTTGTACTCGGCACTTTAAATATCGCATCACCTGTGGAAATCTCGCGCCGTGGATATAATCGTATACCCAGAAGACATCGTGTCCTGTTCTTTACAAGTGCCCGAGTGAGAGAGAGAGCTCGATACAGCGTCGGACGAGAACGGCGCCGGACAAACGCAGTGTGCCACGCGCCCTCTGCAGCCTCACAACTCCTGCCACCAACAGGCTGTTTGGGGGGCAACTGTTGTTAGCGAGCACCTATTAACAGGAGGGCGAGCACGGCGCACGGCACGATGGGGAAGTGGGTGGTGGGTGATGAGACCACGTGCGCTCATGTTAGCGCCACGGCCCGGCCGCCTTTGTCTCCCCAGTGGCGATGTTGAACAAAACACCAGCGCACAGAGACAGCGATCTCCCACATCGCCTTTAAAAAGAGTGTTGGGGCAAAGTGCTGTTAGCGAGCACCTACGCAGGCCGGCACGGCTACACGAGGGGACTGTGGGTGGCCAGCACCACGCCCGACCGCCTTCGTCTCCCCAGTGGCGAATTCTACACACAGCAGCGGGGCACCCATTTGGATCCTCGTCGACCAGCAAGCACACAGCACAACACGCATACTCACCGGGTGAGCTTTGCTTGTTGCTCAGTAAACTCCACAAGGGCACGTTTGCTCTGTCGGGAGTGAGGATCCGCGGGTGGGATGGACTAGCAAGCGAGTGAGTACGGGGGGGGGGGTGGAGCTTGGAGTTAGCTCTTTTGATAATGCACCAAACTATCGAGCCACTGCACACCCGAAGCGTCGTAGCAAACTGATCGCTTCTCGCCCACTGACACCGCCTTATATACTGGCCGGCCGCCGTGCCTTCAGCACCCGCCCCTCTCTACCTCCCCACGTCACCGGCAAATTCTAAATGCGGCTCCCAGGGTGGTGGGGGGGAGGGGAGAAGTGGAGGGGAGTGGGGAAGGGAGGCGGGGCGGTTAGACCCAATTTTTTTATTTCAAGGCTTGGGCATTTGTTCGCGTCGAGTAGTTACATAATCTCGCGTGAATTTAACCTCAACTCAACCAACACGACCGCCGCGTGCAATGAACGCCGCGCTTTGTCTCGCGATATTCTTTGCGTATTGCGCCGTAAGATGTTAACGACCTCGCCACCTACACAGGAGGTTCGTGGGTTTCAATCCCGACCCTGACGCCTACTGTATACGTGGAGTTTCCGTGTCTCTATCTCTCATCGTCATTACGGTGGCTAGGAGATGTTAACTACCTCACCTAGTATACAAGAGGACGTGGGTTCAATCCCGACCCCTGGACGCCTGTCTGCTATATATTTGGAGTTTGCATGTCTCTCTTCTCTCTCCCTGTGGTCGCGTCAATTTTTCTCCCTCCACATTTAGAAACGTGCGTTTAGAGAGTATTTGGCTGCTGTACATTTCCGTGTGATAAGCCACTTCGTTGAGCTGTCATTTGTGGCCAGGGCGCTTCTGAAAAGAAAAGAGATGTATAGCTCGGTGGGCCTTACACCTGGTAACATAAAATATTGTTTTCATTTTGATTTAAAGCTTTCGTGACTGCACCGTCAACAAACAACAACAACAACTAACTCAATTCGTCAACAACACTGTGGCATTTTTAATATTTATCTCAACGGCGACGTTTCGGACAATGGCCCTACTTCATAGCACACTCATGCGATTTTTCAACAATTTGTTTGTCTTCTGATTTCTAACGACTTCATTGCGCCGCCTTTTATTTATTATGTTGCTTTTGTCATTTTTGGTGACCCAGCTCACCACTAACGCCTTCCTGGTTTCTCGAGTCGTCAGCTGGTTTTAGCAAACTCAACTTGAGCCTTACGCCGCGGTTTAAATGCCGAGCGCCGCTGGGAGTTCCAATCCAGAGAGGTCCCCGGTTCAAGTTTTAAGTTAACGACGCATTTTCAATGACCGTGTTTCTGAACCATGTGCCACAGCAGATAGTACTTAAAAAAAAAACAAGACAAAACTCAACGATGTTCACCTCTTGTTGAACAAGAATGCACGCATGTATGTATCCGAGTGCTTAAAGAGCATGTATGTACGTGCGTGATTTTGAACAAATAAAATATATTTTTACTGTCACATTGTCAAGCCACTGCCGAATTAAGGTCTCCCAACGCTCCGTCTGTCATTGAACTTTGACCATACTTGACCAGGCTGTTGCATGTGTTTTCAAAACAAATATTGAATAATAATAAAAACATATTTAAACTAGATTCGAAGCTTTCGTGACTGCAGGACTGACTCTTTGGTTATTTCGGTAAAGTCACGTAGAAAATAAAATCAAATAATAATAGAATACGACGTTTCGATTGCAATACAAGCATCCATCATCAGGTAAGAATGCATGATAAAACACAGACACACATGCAGTGTGTCTTCCTATGTTGTTTCCGTGTCTGTGTTTTATCATTCATTCTTACCCGATGATGGTTGCTTGTGTTGCAATCGAAACGTCGTATTCTATTATTATTTTATTTTCTACGTGACTTTACCGAAATAACCAAAGAGTGAAAACATATTTGTTGTTTTGTGAGCGTTATTAAACACATTCTTCTGGAATGACAAGTTCTCATTAGTCCGAAATGATCAATTGCTGATGGCTTTAGATAATATATTCATCTGTATAATATATATTTATGTATGGCTGTGTACTTATTCATGAGTACCGTTGGGAGTTGAGCGTCTTGGTTAAGAGCCACGTTCTTCATCACAAGGCCCGCAGGCCACTGGCGGCCCCTGGTGGCCTTTAGTGCGTGGCCCTGACGTGCGGAACCCCGCGATACAACACAAATTGGTGACACCCCCCCCCCCCCCACCATCATCATCATCATCGTGCTGCTGTCAAGCCCCCCAATGTCGTCAAATGGTGTGGCGGCTCTCACACCGATGATGTCTTATCGGCGAAAGTGCCCTCCCCCCTCTCTGAAAATGAGTGAAGCACCCTGTGCTAGAGTTCAGAGATTTCAGAATGCGATGTCGAATGAGGACGTATCACGAGTTTTCACTCCCTTCAGGAGAGCTCTGCTACGTTTTGATGTTTGGCGAATTCCCAGAGAACCCGGAGAAAGCCCACCACACACACACGAGGGGATAATGATGCTCAGAGGGCTCGCATAAAAAGAGTTCACGAACCCATCCTTGCTGCACTGCCACCACCTGGCCATCTTTCAGTCCAGCGCATTTGGGAGTTCAACTACGCTATATTCCTGGTTCTTTCGGTAAAGTCACGTTGAAGGGAAACAATAAAATATATATAAAACAATAAAATTATCACGACGTTTCGACTGCAACACAAGCAATCATCATCAGGTGTGAAAACCACAACAAGAAAATTTGAAAAAATCGGCGGTTATTTTTTACGTTAGCACCACGGAGAGCGATTTGACAGTTTGTTCAGATGGACGAGTCCATCTATGTTCGGAAAAGAGGAGGGGGGAGACGAAAAATAATGGATGCGGTCTGAAAGCCACCTTAAGCGTGATCAATCAATTAAGACCCGAAATGGTTTATCAAATCCTTCCAATGATTGCTAAGCCAGAATCCATCTTCTCGGTTGAAATTGTCTATGTGTTTGTATATGTGGATAGCCTCATGAACGAATCTCTCATGGTAGCCAGATGGCTTGCAAATAACCTCTGTCTTGGAGAAGTCAATGTCATGTGAGCCTACTGAATTATAACAGTGATCTGCCATGGCCGAGGTGTTCGTCCTACCGTGTTTCAGGTCTGCTTTATGTTCACGAATGCGGTCCGAGACATGTCGTTTAGTTTCTCCAATGTAACTACTACCACAGAGGCAACTTAGTTTGTAGACGCCAGGGTACTGTATGTCCGGAATCACATCTTTTACAGACGGAACCAGATCACGGATTTTATGTAATGTGTTGAATCGGACCTGGATCTTGTGTTTATTCAAGATTTTGGAGATCTTTTTTGTGATCCCCGCAATGTAGGGTAAAGTGATGGTTTTGAAAGGCTCCTCAAGAGGGTCCTTCTTCATGGTTGGAGTGACAGCTTAAAAATAACCGCCACCTTTTTCAAATTTTCTTGTTGTGGTTTTCACACCTGATGATCATTGCTTGTGTTGCAGTCGAAACGTCGTGAGAATTGTATTGTTTTATATTTTTATTATTTTATTGTTTCCCTTCTACGTGACTTTGCCGAAAGAACCAAGAATATGAATCACTGCAGTCACGAAATCTTTAAATAAAAATTCAACTACGTTATCACATTTGTCTTAAATATACAATACTGTTACAGTGACTGTAATCAGTATGCCTACTCCAAGCATCACAGCAGCTTTGAATTATCACATATTAACATGGCAATAACATGTATTGATTGAATTTATAACGAAAAAAACCCACCCCTCCATCGAAGGGATTAATCTGCAGCCAAGATCAATCCACTGCTGGATGAAGGTCTCCCCAAGCCGTCGCCATCTCTCACGGTCTTTGCGATGTAACGGCAAGAACAAAACAATCATTTCACGGCTCCATCTCCACAGCGGGACGTCCTTCCGCCAGTCGGGTTAGGTAAGAGTAATGCTACGCCATAAACGCGCAATTAAAGTACACACACTCACCCTTTCCGTCAGACATTAGGTGACAACATTCACGTTTCTTCGGTGGTTGTTTCCCTTGGCTCATCGCTTAATTATCCACAGCACCGAGTGTTACTCAGTTTCCGCGTAATGACTCACCCTGCATTTGCATGGCGTAGACAGCTGTGTGGTGAACGAATCGCTGGTGGCAATGAACCCATCGCTCGTCGGTTCGCTTATCACGAGCCGGCCTGGCCAGTTTGTTGGAACCAAGGTGGTGGCCGTACAATGGTGAAGGTGAAACCACTGTTGACGTAAAGGGGGGCCTCCTTTATTATTGATGAACTTTCGAGAGCGAGAGAGACCTACCAAGAGAGAGTGTTTGGTCAGATCCTGCACGCTGGCTGGAGAGTCTTGAGAGGATTCATGAGGTCTCTCCTTCTCCTTCATGCTCCTTCTCCTTCGTGTGGCATTTTTTTGTGGATTGCAATAGATGACAAATTGATGCCGAGATGTGATATCCCGCTCGACCGCGTCGGGAGGAAGCCGCGTGGATTTGTTTCAGGTCGCCGTTGAATTATCCGCTCGGGGCGACCGTTCACGATATGTCGCACCACCGCGGTCTCACGTTGAACTCTCGTTAATGGTGGAGAAAGTGTCCCGCATCTTCCACGGAGTGTCCGGATCCCATTCAAGGAGGACCCCAAACTTTACCCCACCGCACGCGCGACCTGCCGACCGAGTCACCGTGGTGTTGCCCATTCACACTGCCGGGGCGGGGGCGGGGGGAGATTTGTTGTTGTTGTTGTGGTTGTTTAGTTTAAATAAGCGTGCGTCGTCGCTTCTACGGGCGCATGGTAAAAACTTGTGGTCGAAACCTCCAGCAACCGAACCCTCCACACTGCCGTCTGTGGCCCATCACCAACCGGTTTTGCAAGTTGTGGCGAGACCACGCTTGGGGGCTGTGTGGTAGTAGCCAGTGCCATTGTGTGGAAACGAAGAGCGGGCTACGGATATCCCGAACGCCAAGCAGGTTGGGGCTATCGGTTGGTTCGAAGCAAAGTTCTTAAAACAGAGGGCTTACTTGCATCTGTAACCCCAACGTTAATTTTATTTTTCAAGGCGTCACTTGCGCTATATTATATTTGCACTGCTTTTTTGCCGTTATATATTCGCGTGCGTTTCGTTTACGACCGTTAAACAACTCGCACGATGATTATTTGTTGTTGTTGTTGCAAATTCCCATCAGGACCCCGCTG